ATATATATATAAAATACAAAATATCAAATTAGCCATAACAATGATATATTCTTGTACAATATTATAGAATGAGTCTATACCAAAGAGAAACATTGTGTCATATTTTGATTGGTAGAAAAAAATACCCCTTTTGATAATTGATAAATTACAGGTAGTCCCCGACTTACGACCACAATTGAACCCATTTTTTCTGTTGCTGAGTGAAACAGTCGTTAAGTGAATCTCGACCCAGTTTTACGACCTTTCTTGCCACAGTTGTTAAGTGAATCACATGGCTGTTAAGTGAACCTGGCTTTGCTTGTCAAAAGGTCGCAAAAGGGGATCGCACAACCCCGGGATGCTGCAACCGTCATAAATATGAGTCAGTTGCCAAGCGTCTGAATTTTGATAACACGATATGTTGCAACGGTCGTAAATGTGAAAAACAATGATAAGCCCCTTTTTTCAGTGCCGCTGTAACTTTGAACGGTCACTCAATGAACTATTGTAAGTCGAGGACTCCCTTTAAAGATTTCTTCAGTCCTCACCTTAACGTCCGAACTGAGATTTCCTCGGTCACAAATCTTAAACTCTCTTCCTGGGTCACGATGAAGTCACATTCCTCTCTTTAATGTAAGATGTTCTTTTCTTTTGGGCTGGAGAACAAAAATGGATAAGGACAACTTGCATTCTTCAAGTGTACTTTCCGCTCTACGAAAAAAGCACTCTATTAATAAAAACAGCCCAAAAAAAGATAAATATTTCTGATTTGTGTTTCATTGCCATGTTCGAATGACAGTGTGTTGTGGCCTGTTGGCCCCTCCAGCAGCCAAATCGGAGGAGGAGGAGGAGGAGGAGGAAGAGGAGGAGGAGGAGGGGTCAGCTTGGGAGTTGGGGGTCAGCATCGGGGCAACCTGGGAGCTCCAAGGGGGAAGAGGGAATGGAGCCGTCAGAGAGACATAGAGGCGGAGCCTGAGCCATCCGTCAGCCCTCAGATGGAGAGTCAACAGCCCCCAGGTCTGGAGGTGGCT